CCAGTCACACTGTGTTGTAACTTTCTTGTTTGTTTCCTTCAGGCCATGGCCTATAGTAAGAGAGTGTAGTGACCAGTCCCCCATTTTAGCAGCCATTACAGGCTAACATGTGCTTGCATGTCCTTGGGGCTCCTGTCCTGGTCCCTAGGAGGTCAGCTCCTTGTGGCAAGGAGCCAATCAGAAGTTAGTTGGCAGGGCTGTGCTTTACGGCTCTGGGTGTGCTTAACAGACCATAGCAAGTGCCCTGGGAGGGCCTATGGACCATAACAACCAGTTGACCAATCAACACAGGGCAGGTCACCCAAACCTGGAAGTGCACCAATCCTGAGACTGTTTCATACCCCTAGACACTCCCCTTATGCTGCCCTTTAAGATCCCTGCCTTGAGGTTGCTTGGGGTCTTTCTCCAGCCATTTGCCATGGTGGCAGAGTGAAGGGCCCGAGCTAATGATGTTAGCTCGTTAAACATCTACAATAAAAGACTCTTTGCTTTTGCACCGAAATGGGCCTCTTGGTGATTTTGGGGTTCAGAATTGGGACACAACAAGATGACATTTTGGGGTTTTTTATTTGTTTGTTTTGGTTTTTCGAGACAGGGTTTCTCTGTATTGCTTTGGAGGCTGTCCTAGACTCTCTCTGTGGACCAGGCTGGCCTCTAACTCACAGAGATCTGCCTGCCTCTACCTCCCAAGTGCTGGTATTAAAGGCATGCACCACCAACACAGGGCTCAAAAGAGACAACATTTTATATCACAATGTAGTGCATGAACATACGTGTAAGCATGTGTTGCATGTGCAGGTGAACTAGAATAATGCTTTCTAGTACTATACATAGTACACATTAACACTTCGTTTTATTCTATTTCATTAGACTCTTTCATTTTTAAAGGTTTTTTCTTTTCTTAAAAAACAAACAAACAAACAAAAGTCTTAGTAAGCTGTGTTGGTACATACTTTTAATCCTAGCACTTGGGAGACAGGCAGGCAGATCTTTTAGTTTGAGACAAGCCTGGTTTTACAGGGTGAGTTTCAGGACAGCCAGGTCTACACACAGAAACCCTGTTTCAAAAACAATAGATAAATATATAAAAAATAAATAGTCATGTAGCCCAAGCTAGCCTCAAGTTCTCTGTACCTGAGTGTGACCTTGGACTCCTGATGGTCCTACCATCACCTCCCAAACATGAGGACTACTGGTGTGTGCTGCCATGCCCAGCCGAGGTTGTGTTTTGAGACCTACTAATTGGATTTGTGATTCACACAAAATGTCTCAAAATCCACATTTTTCAAAATCCTACCTAGAATAGTCTGGCACACTTTTTCTGAAAAAGGCATGTTAGTACTACAGCGTTTGTATGCATAGGGTTCTTATTGTAGATCATAGTAGACTTCATTGGCGTCATAAAACACTGAGTAAACAACTTGAGAAAGGATTTATTGTTGTTGTTGTTTGTCACAGGTTTCTGTCTCAGAGCTCTGTCTCCATAGCTTGGGCTTGAGATAAAGCAGATTTTCCTGGCTGAGAGGACCTATGGGGGGAGGGGGGAGGCGACTGGGACAACATGGCTGCCCACAGACATGCCCCCAAGGACCTGCCTTCTCCAATAAAGCCCTGTCTCCTACTTTCCCACCACCTGGCAACAATTCAATAACAAGAATCCATTAAAGAATTAATTGATTAGGTCAGAGTTCTCACCACCCGATCGCTTCCAAAAAGACCATTGTCTGGTAGCTGAGACTTTCAGGGAAACATTTGGCATCAAATCACAGCACAGGTAGGAAAGTCATTTGTGTCCTAAAAAAAAAGGTAATATGCAAAGTGATGCTTATGGTTCTGGTTCAACATAGACTTATGGACACTCTAATTTGAAGTTCACATAATTTTAAAATTATGAAGTATTCTTTTCCTGGTTTTGTTTATTCTTTACCTTCCTTCTTTCCTTCCTCCTTCCTTCTTTCCCTCGCTCCCTCCCTCCCTGCCTTTCTTTCTTTCTTTCTTTCTTTCTTTCTCTTAAGCACAGTCTCAGGACCTGGTTTTTAATGAGACATTATCTGGCTGCGATCTTCTCAGTTTATGCCATAACAGGTATGAAACCAAGCTCGGGGGAAGCGAATTCATAAAGAAGCAGTTTACATAGCAGGGTTTCTCTGTGTGGCCCTGGCTGCTATGGAACTCACTCTATAGACCAAACTGTCCCTGAACTCATAGATATCTGTGGGCCTCTGCCTCCTGAATGCTGGGATCAAAATGTGTGTCACCACTGCCCAGCTATTCAACGTTTTTATTACAAAAGTACTGTCTGTTCACAGGAGAAAAGTGAATGGTCCAGTGAAACAAAGTGGATAAAGCAATCTTTGGCAATCCCATGACTTGCAGATAGCATATCCTTTCCTACTTTTTTTTTTTTTTTTGGCCATGAGGAGGGGAGGTTATTTTTGGCTGGGGAAGGAGCACTGAAACATTTTGTTTCTCTTCAGCTCACCCGGAAACCAAGCTTCTCCTCTCTGGCTGCAGAGACTGAAGCTGAGGAGAAACAATAAGGAGAGTGAGTGGAAATCATGAGTGTGTGGAGTAATTAGATAAACAGTATGATAAGTTCTTAGGCCTGAGCCCCCCCCCAGCCCTTTAGAGACAGATGTAGCGCCCACCCTCTGTCAGTGGGTAACTGAAAGGGTAGACTAGGAATTATGAGTGTGAGAAAGCAGAAATAAAAGGTGTTTTCAGGGCTTGGGAGATGTGTCTGTCTAGCTTTCAAGTATGAAGCAGGAAATGCCTCATACTCCCTAAGGAAGTGAAATAGTCATTGAGCAAGAAAATGGGTAATTCCATAATGACAGAATGCACATTGTTGTTTAGAGGTGTCTGGCTTGAGGGGACAGAGGAACCAGAAGTCATGAGTTTAGCTGGTTGTGGCTGACAAGGATGACAGAAAAACACGGTCAACCATGTAGACCTAATGGCCTGTTTATGGAAATTAAACACATGAAGAAAGGACAAATACACCCCAAGGAAGCAGTCAACCAGTTTCAGAACGAGGAACATTCTAGGGAACAAGGTGATTCACTTAGGTTCTCGCTGAGAGTAAGTGCCCTAAAAAAAAGAGAAAGGAGGCAGAGGTCTGTTGCAGAATAGCAGAGACTTTAAGAGGCATAGCCAAAGGCAGTGTGTCAATCTCAGTCCTCTCCTTTTAAAAAAAGTTTAAAAATGAGATTCATTCTATTGTATGTGTGTGCATGCTTTGATGGCTTGTGCATACTTGTGTGACTGGTGGCCAGGGAGGGGGGAAGATGGATGGCATCAGATGGCCTGGTACCGGAGTTACCAGTTGTGAGCCACAATGTAGGAATGAAACCTGGATCCTTTGCAAGTGCAACAAACTCTCTTAACCCCCCAGTCGTCTCTCTAGCCCCCCTCTATCACCCATTTTGGCAAGGTCTCACTTCATAGTTCAGGCTGGCCTAGAATTTGTAGAGATCCTCCTGCCTCAGTTTCCCAGGTGTTAGGATTACAACCATCTGCCACTATACCGGCTCTCATTATTGCTTGATCAGAACAAATCAACTTTAAAGGCGTATTTGAGGTAACTGGAGGAATTTCAATGTGAGCAGGACATTATATAAGAAATTACTGGGATTGGCGAGATGGCTTCTTAACTAAAGGTGCTTCCCCCAAGCCTGACATATGAGTTCCTTTCCTAGGACCCACATGGAGGAAAGAGAAAACCACCCCCAGACACATTGCTTTTAGTCTGTAGCATTGGTTGTCCGTGAACTGAAGGCAGTCCTCCTGTGTCAGAGTCTTGAGTGCTGGGATTGCAGGGTTAGCCATCACACTTGATTTGGGGGGTTCTTTAGCAGCTCTGCAGAGTTAATGACATGGAGATGCCATTTTTTTTTTACATTAAAAACTGGCCGGGCAGTGGTGGTGTATGCCTTTACTCCCAGCACTTGGGAGGCAGAGGCAGAGGCAGGCAAGTCTCTGTGAGTTCGAGATCAGCCTGGTCTACAAGAGCTTGTTCCAGGACAGGCTCCAAAGCCACAGAGACACCCTGTCACAAAAAAACAAAACAACAACAACAAAAAGCAACTTTAAAACTTATCAATTCATTTCTGTATACGGTGTGTTTACACTTGTCTGTAACTTTAAAACTTCCTTATGTATACAGTGTATGTACATGTGCCCGTGCCTGCACCTGTGAGGAGGGAAGACAGTTAGCAAGAACTGCTTCTCTCCTTCCAGGTGGGTCTTGGGGCATGAACTCGGTTTTATTAGGCTTGGCAGCTGGTGCCTTTACCTGCTGAGCCATCTTGCTGGCCTCTGGAGATACCGTTATTTTGACACAAAGGACAGTTACCAGTGCTCTTGACTGGCTTGGAGAACCCTTGAAAATCCAGGCTAGGTTTGCATGGTCCTGCTGTAACACATCTCACCAACCTCATCAGCCTCTGGTCCCCATGCAGGTATTACTGCTTTCCTATTTCTATCTAGTAAACCTCACTTCCAGCCTACACTGGTGCTGGGTGGGTGGGGTAGGGGTGGGGTGGAGGAGTAAGAAAGAGAGGTCCCGGAAGGGACGTTGGCAGGGAGGTCTAGGTTCTGGACGTGTGGGATTGTGAAGAATGAGGTAAGGTGGAGCTTGCATCCTGAACCTCTTCATTTACTCTAAACCAAGTGTGAATTGTGTCCCATGGAGGCCGTTTGCTTCCCAGTACAGTGAAGGGAAGCCTCTTTCTGCTGTTTGGTCTCTCATTGTCTTGGCAGGAGACCCGGATGCTAACAGGCTGGAAACGTCTTATCAACATATAAACTGGGAGAAGATTTTTGGGATTACCAGGAAATGCTGTACACCCCACTTCCCACCCACCTTAGATTACCAGGAAATGCTGTACACCCCACTGCCCACCCATGTTAGAGAGCAGAGTCATCCCTAAATCCTTCTCTTCTTTCCCAGGATAATGACCAATCATGTGGGTGAAGCCAAAAGGTCAATAACTCAGAGGTTTCAAAAAAGGAATTTTATTAACCTTTCGCGTCCTGATATTCAGTTTTCCCCCGGGCCTTGGAGTGTTTTCCTTTAGGAAGCATGCTTGGCAGGGAGTGGACGGCTGCCAGCTCCGCACTCATCTGCGCCGGCGGGGCCCGCGCGAAGCTTTCTTTTCTCCTCGGCGCCTTCGAACCGGGACAGGAGGAGCAGCCGGAGTTGGGGGTCGAGGTGCAGGGCCGGGCGCTGAGCGGACCGAGCCGCCTTGGGCAGGCTTGTAGACCAAATGGAAGATGAAGGCGTTGCAGTACCTGCAGCGAGGGCGTGGTCAGGGACAGGACCTGGCCTCCTAGCAGGCGAGGCTAGGGCACAGATTTAGGGCTAGATGCAGTAAAGAACAAGGAGTGGTGGTGCGAGGGCTGCTCAGCCTGACCCCTGGGTTCGATCCCCGGGGGTGCGGGGGGGAGAGTCTTTTTAGGAGTAGGGCGAGGAGCTGAGAGATGTTGTGAGCAGGATCTAAAAGGGTGTTTGTGTTGGAGGTTGTCCAGACCAGCAAGGAGAGAAATGAGGAAAGAGATGGAGGCTTGTAAGGCTGGGGCGAAGAGAGTCCCAGGAGTACAGAGACCTTTTAGGCTACAGGGTATATAACTCGCAGGTCAGGAGAGCAACAGGCAGCCATGGGCCCTTACCACGGCATACAGTTGTCAGCTGCTCTGAGGCGGAATGGGGAGCGGAAGGGGTTGGGCTGTGGCGAGCTGGTGCCCCCTCCTGTGGCCACCGCCATGATCTGGTCGTCCATCACACAGCCATACTCACTGCTCTCAGTGAAGAAAGCTGGCACTCGGAGAGACTGAGGTTTGAATAAGCCCTCAGACACTTCCTGGGAGGCTCCTTCACCCAGATACACCCCAAGCCGCACCCTCCCGGATAGGCAAAGCCCCAGAAGAGACCAAGATGCAGGAGAGGTAGGCAGTCCCCAAGTCTGTGGAGCAGTTGAGGGATGGGCGAGTGCGGTCCTTTAGAGGAGGAAAGAAACTGAGTAGGTGAGATTATCCACCTGTAATCGGGGCAGACAGCTCAGCCATGTGTCCTTGAGACCAAAGCCAGAGTTAAATCCTGCCAAGAAAGGGTAACACTGGTGTCCACTGTGTCTTTTACTTTCCCCGATCCCTGTCCTTGAGCCCCAGGCTCTTACCAATAACCAGGTCAGGCTTGGGTCCCTGGAGCAGGTGATAGGGCCGGGTGGACACCCTGATTTGCAGGTCCCTTCGCCCTCCCTTCTCCTTAGTCCCAGAGCTGAGCCGTGCTGATACCCCAGAACCGGGACGCAGAGACACCTCAGGGCCATCCTGTGGGGCCAGGAGTAGGGTGGGGAAGTTCGGGTCATGGGAGCACCAGGGAAAGAAGGGGAGGAGGGAAGGGGAGGAGAGGGCTCCACCAGGCTACCAGAGGCAGGGCTGGAGAATCAGGCCCTCTCCAGCTCTCACCCTCTGCATAGTAAAATGCTGCTGGTCACTCTCAGGTGGTAGGCTGTCACCCACAAACTGTAACTCCAGGGCCACGTGTGGGAGAAGGACCAAGAGCTCCTTAGAGACAGAGAGCAAAAAGGCCAGTTCAGGGTCCTACCCTAGGACTGCCTCCATCTTTACAACGCACACTTTGTGCGTGGGGACTTACCCAAAACACCATGACAAGATCAAATTCCTTCCCGGCCTCCACCACGTGGATCTTCAGTGACTGCTTGTTCTGGATGTTGAGCTCAGGGACTGGTGAGAAGTCCTCTCATTGAAGATGCGGCTCCCTTACCACCAGCCCCCCCCCCACCTCCCATCCCGTCTGCTCTCCTTACAGGACTGGGGTACCAGGTGGGTGATGACATAGTACACGGTCAGCGGGTAGGTGAGAAGCACAGCCATGGGGGAGTCCAGGCTAAGGCCCCGCCACATGTAGTAATCCTGCCATGAACCTGGGGAGAGTGTCTTAGTGGAGGGCCTGATCCTAGGCCCGTGCCTCAAACTCTAATAAGCCCCCACCCCCTTCTCAGGCACCAGGTTCCTATCTGCCACCCCCTCCAGGATCTATGTCTCAACTTCCAGTTCTTCCAGGACCCTCCAGCTCACCGAAGAGGCTCCTGGGTGGGTCTAGGGGCACCGGAGGCATCAAGGCAGGCCCGTCTCCCTGCAGAAGCTGGTAAGGATCACCTGAATGGATGAGAAGCAGTGCCTAGGGGCTGTAAACCCCTATCTGTCTCATCTCCCTGTTCCTCCCCGAAGAGATGTGCACCCTGGGAGGAGGTCTGAAGCTGTGTGTAGCAGGACTGGAGTTAGCCTAGGGACAGGGTTATTGGGTGGATCAAGCAGAAATGACTCCTTTGAGGTCTTTGGAAAGACTTAAAATAGCCCTTAATGGTGTTAGCACAGCAGTGGTATGTATATGGAATGGTTAAATGGGACCTGGTCCACTCCCCCCAGCCCCTCAACCTTCTCTCTAGGCTTAAGAGTCCATTCCTGGCAAGAGGCCTCATGTACCGTTGAGAAGGCGGCTGAGGGATGGTGTGCCACCCCAGGGGTTCCTGGGGGCGCCAGGCCCTGGAATCAGCATGCTGAGCTGGGTCCAATAGCCACGAGTGAGCCCCCGAGAGGCCAGGAAAGCTTCCTTGTTAAAGGTTTCACTGGTCACCTCTGCAGGAAAAGGGGTGAGGGTTTGGTGGCCCCAGGACTTCAGCTGTCCTCTATTATCCCAGACTTTTAGCCTGCTTCTACCCAGGGAGGGAATTTTCTTTTTGGAGTGTCTACCATGATCCAGGCACCAAGAGCTTAGGTAACCCTTGAAATAATTAAATGTGATTTAATATTTGCTAGTGGAAACTTGGGTTTGAAGAGGGAATTTTTTTGTTTTGAGACAGGGTCTCATTGCAGCACAGGCTGGCTTTAAAGTCACGATGTAGCAGAGGATGGCTTTGCACCCCTGGACCTCCTGTCTCCACCTTCCCAATGCTGGGATTACAGGTGTGCCTCATCAGGACCAGCTCTTGTTTTGTCTTGCTTTTGAGACAAGGTGTCACGTAGCACAGGAACATTAATTAGGTCCTCCTACCTCAGCCTCCCAAGTGCTGGGAATGTGTTACCATGCCTGGCTTAAGTGAAACATTTGAGGTCATGCAACTAGACCTTGGCAGAGGTGGGCAGCAAACATTTGAACTGATACCCTCAAATGCCCTGGTGCCTCTCAGGGCATACGCCATTCTGCCTCAGTTTCTCTGTCTCTGATCCCTAACACCAAATACACAGTACCGGTGCTTACTCCAAGGATGTAGACGTCAATCAAACACTCATTCTTCAGTCCCAAAGACCTGATCCCAGGACCCCCGCCCTGCCGCTATGACCTTCTTATGGTACCTGCAGTATAGGTGAAAGGCAGGCTTGCCAGTTCTCCTGCTCGCTCCATAAAAGCGGCAAGTCGTGGGCACCAAAATCTGTGGCTCACATCATCTGGGCATCGGCGCCAATCAGCCTGGAGACAAGCCTCTCCGCAGTATAAGACGGCACTGCACTGGGGGCTGGGTACACAGGGGTAATCAGCACCCATCAGTCTTCGTGGGTCCTGTGGGCTGTAATCTGCCGGTATGCCACCCAGCCTGTTTGCATTGAATTCCTACCCCTTCCGACCTCCAGGACCCTCCCTGTGTCTGTCTGCTGGGACCCCCCACACACACACCATTGGCCTGACTGGCTTTTCTACTTGGTTGTCTAACTGTTAGAATCTTCTTTTGACTCCAGCCTTGGGGTGCTCACCAGGGTGTCAACTTCACTTCAAAGCTGTGCTTATGACAAACATGGCAAGTTCGAGCCCGAAGAGAGGCAAAAGTAAAGCCTGGCCGAGGACCCCATGTCCTCATTGGGGTCTTTGCTAACTTCACACCCAACCTCGGGATCAGGCTCTCCAGGTCTCTGCATGGAGATGAAGATGGCGTCAGGATAAAAGGGCTCAGGAGTTTGGATCCCACACCTTCCTACTCTCTGATAGCAGATAGCTGTACCGATGCAGGTGGGCGTCTCCCACAGTAAGCTGTCGGGGCTTCCGGGGGTCCCCAGAACCCATAGGGCAGGCCATGCTATGGCAAAGGAGAGCATAGGCCCGAGGAGCCAGATTCTCAGTGCCTGGGTTCTGGCCCACACTCCCCTGGGTTCCATCCATTAGCAGATCAATGCCCAAGATGGTGCCATGCTCATCTGTCACCAGCAAAAGGCAGGAGAGGTGCAGCGGGGTAGCCTCTGGAGAAAGAGGGGAAAACTGGATGAGAGAGGCTGGGGCAGATAGTCGTAGTCAGATATACCAAGTTTAGATATCTGGGGGCGACAGACGATTTCAATGAATAGAAGAGAATAGATAAAAGAGGTCGTTCCCATTGAAAGGGGGCAGTGGCTAGACAGGGCCAGAATGTAACAAACATGGACACCTTATCAAAACCTGGAGTTTTCTTTCTTCTTTCTGCTTTTTGTTTTGTTTTATTTTTCGAGACAGGGTTTCTCTGTATTGTTTTGGAGGCTGTCCTGGAACTCGCTCTGTAGACCAGGCTGGCCTCAAACTCACAGAGATCCGCCTGCCTCTGCCTCCCAAGTACTGGGATTAAAGGCATGTACCACCAACGCCTGCTTATTTTTTGTTTTTTGTTTTTGTGGACTTTTCTTTCTTTAGGTTTATTTTTATTTTATGCCTATGGGTATTTTCTCCACCAGTATGTCTGTGCATCTCATGTCTGCATCTGCAGAGGGTGTTGGGTCCCCTTGGAAATGGAGTTACAGAAGGTAATCAGCCACCATGTGGGTGCTGGGGATTGAACCTGGAACCTCTGGAAGGGCAGTCAGTGCTGTTAACCTCTGAGCCATCTCTCCAGCCCTAGTTTTTCTTAAGATGCAAGGCCTCTGGACTTTCATTCTTCACAGTGCTTAGATGCTGATTCAAATTAAAAAACAAAGCCACATTGTGGCAGGTGAACTTTGGGTAACAGATTTTCGCAAAGGTGGCCAACTTGTGAGTCGTGGTTGGGTTTGAGCGACATGAAATGAATTCAGAAAGGTGTCGGGACAGGGGACAGGGCAGGGCTGCCCTGGGTTCTCACCACTCCTCCGTCCTTTCCTCCTCTTTTCAGGGGCTCTCTCATCCTCTGCTCTGTCCTCTCGGCAGCCATCATCACAGCTTGCCTCTTGCTGGGTCACCTCTGACTCGGCTGGTGGCTTTGCTTCTTGGAGGAGTTCCCTGCTTGGAGGGGCCGGCTCCCCACCCTCCTGCGGTTCTGCCTTCTCTGTGCCTGAGCTCTCCTTTCCATTCTCTTCTTCATCTTCTTCCTCCTCCCCTTCCTCCCCATCCTCTAGACTGACAAAAGTGACGTAAGGACTCAGATCTCGAAGGTGGAGTGGAGGCTCATCTCCCAGGAGCCGGGACGCCCCCAGGCCTGGCCCAGGACCTGGCTCTGCACCTTGCCCCAGGCTGATGCCCACACTACGGTTTGGTAAGACGTGGAGCACCCACAGGGCAGGGTCTTGGGGCAGCCTCCTTATCTGAGCCTCCAGTTGACGCCATCGGCCCTCAAGGTTGGTTCCCATGGTTCCCTTCTCTGTCACGAACTTGCGGAACCAGCCAAAAAGAAGAGCAGCGAAATCAAGGAACTCGTCCCGGTATCCAGACACAAACTCCATGTCTTAAGATGCACAGGGCCTGGGCCCAGACTGAGCAGAAAGGGATGTATGGTAACGGTCAGGTTTGGGCTGGGTCACAAACGGGGTAAGGGGGTAGGCCTGAGGTAAAATCTATAGAGGAGTCTCAGGAGCTGAGAATAGGATTTGCAGTTAACGAAGGAGGGAGACTAGATTGGAAAGTGGATATTTAAAGGTGAGTGATGAAATCATAGCTGAGGTATAAAACTCAATGACTCAGATCCTAAAGTGAGATTTGAATTAAGGGAGGACACGAGGTAAGGCTAACCCTATAGGGAAAGGTTTGCTGAGAAGGGAAAATGTTGAGGTCTGTTGGTCTGTGGGAACAGAGGTGAGAGTTAAGAACTGAGACATCTCTTGCGTGAGGATCAGTTTGGTGTGAGCCCCAATAAGCCCACCCTCTTTGTGGCCGCTCCTCTCCTCCGGTACCTGCAGCCGCCACCACTTTTCGAAGGTAAATACCTCGTGCTGGAGGACCGTCGTGACGTCAGGTCTGCCCGAGCCCACTGCTCATAACTTGGGTGGCACGCCCGCTTAGAGCGTCCGGCTGCACCCGGCCAGTGCGTGCGCACTCCCACAGGGCCATGTGACTGGTTCCACATTAACACAGAGGACCAGGGAAGTGAAAGCATCTTGGAGCAGGAGGGAGGATCCAGCAAGACGTCTGTTTTACAAACCAACAGACAGGCGACCACAGGAGAGGGCTGATATCCCCAACCCAAGCGAGTCATTCTTCCGGGGCTACTGCTTGCCCTCTCGGATTCCTGTGTCTCCACAGTCCGAGGTTTCTTTCAGTTTTGTCAGTCTTGGCTGACCCCACGCCTGGCTGTGAGTCTGGAGTCGGGTGAAGGAGCTCCGCCTTCAGGGGGTTCCCCGACGTGGGAGCTGGGCACAGCGCAGGCTCCCGGGTACTGACCAGGCGGTCGGTCGGTTCGGGACAGCGCGCCGCGCGGGGACGGAGGGGAGGGACGGCACCGCCGCCGCCACCGCCACCTCGCGCCCTGTCCCGCCTGAGCTTGGCACCGACCGCAGTGCCTCCGCAGAACTTTAGGCAATCGGGGTGAAGAATCGAAAGCAAGCGGATCAGCTGGATGTCGGCTAAGTGCCTTGGCAACCACAAGCTCCGCAGAGTCCGGAGATGAGGCAGAGCTTCGGACCCCTGTCCCTGGCGCTCTTTCTCTTCTTGCTGGCTCTGCTGACCCAGCCAGGTTAGTCAGGGGGCGAGGCTGGGGCCAGAATGGAAACTGGAGGGGCACAAAAACTGAGGGATTAAGAACTCAGGCCAGAGTTGTAAAAGGCAGCAGTCAGGACTAGGGAAGGCTGTCTGGGCTTGGGACTGGGGACCCGTGGGCCCAGGTGGCATTACCCTGGGGTGGGAAGTAGGTCTGGCGGGTAGGGAAGGCTGAATGAGACAGCTGAGTTGGAAGTCAAGGAGTCTGAGTCGGAGGACTGATCCCTCTTTCACCTTTAGGAGATGGCAACCAGGGCAGTGCCATCGGAAGCTGTTCGTGTGGTAGAACAATCGCTTCTGGCACCCCGGTACCGGCTGCTACCTTGACTCATATCCGAAAACACCTGAAAGCATACGATCACTGTCCATTCCTCATCAGGTACTGTCTTACCCATTCGTCTGTCCATCCGTCCAACTGCCCCCCACCCTGCGGCCCCGGGAGTTACAGGACCATCAACCTGAACACCCCGTCCAGATGCGGGAGCCTAGCTCCTTACCAGTTTCACTTATCTGGGGATTTCCAGCTCTATTAGGGCTTTACCTTGGGTGACTTCACACCTTTGGAATGAGGAAAAGTAGGGAGGGGAAGTCACAGGAGACTGGACTTATCATCTTACAGGTTCCACTTAAAGTCCACGAGTGTGTGTGGGAGAAGCCAAGACCAGTGGGTCCGTGAATTGATAAGCTGCTTTGAGAAAAAAGGTGAGAGCCTCTTTTGTCCTCCAGGGGCCACCATCTTCCAGTCTCCTTTGCCTCTGCCACACCACACAGCACTTTTTTTTTTTTTTTTTTTTTTTTTTTTTTGGTTTTTCGAGACAGGGTTTCTCTGTGGCTTTGGAAGCTGTCCTGGAACTAGCTCTTGTAGACCAGGCTGGCCTCGAACTCACAGAGATCCGCCTGCCTCTGCCTCCCGAGTGCTGGGATTAAAGGCGTGCGCCACCAACGCCCGGCTTAGCACTTTCTTATTAGAAGCTTCTAACTGGCTGAAATACTTTCCCTTAAGTTTGTGTCTTCTCAATATCACTTACTGTCAGCCAATTTGTTCTACCACATATGCCATTCCTTAATATTTTCCTTTTATATAATTAATTTTATTTCATGTGCATTCTTATTTTGTGTACATGTATGTCTGTGTGAAGGTGTTGGATCCCCTGGAACTGGAGTTACAGGCAGTTGTGAGCCTCCATGTGGTTGCTGGGAATTGGACCCAGGTCCTCTGGAAGGGCAGTCAGTGCTCTTAAGCACTGAGCCGTCTCTCCAGCCCTACTTCTTGAAGTCACTATTACAATATAAAGTGTACTTGAGATTGGTCATGCTAAATAAGTGTTCCACCACTGAACTATCCCCTGAATTTTAGGCAGTTTCAGCAGGGTCTGACTAAGTTGGCCAGGGTTGGCTCAAACTTGTTTTTGTTTTGTATGTGTGTAAAAATTACCTTTATTGTGGGATGGGGGATCTTAGCCTGAATAAGACTGACCCTCAGAATGCACAAGGCGCTGGGTAGAATGGGCCTTGCCTTGAAGGAAAATGTGAGTGCTCAGAAACTGAGACAACTCCCAAGGGAGTCTTCAGGCAAGTACGCCTATTTATTCTTTCCAAACTTAGGAATTAGTTAACTGACTTCCCATCTTGAGGATCGGGATGAGGAAAGGGAAGAAGGGAAACTGAGTGGGATTTTACAGAAAAATCCTTAGTGGCAAAAGAAAGTGGCAGTTCTCTTTTCATATTAAAAAAAAATGGACCATAGTATTTTTTTTCCGAGACAGACAGGGTTTCTCTTGGCTTTGGAGGCTGTCCTGGAACTAGCTCTTGTAGGCCAGGCTAGCCTCAAACTCAGATCTGCCTGCCTCTGCCTCCCGTGCTGGGATTAAAGGCCACCAACGCCCCGCTGGTCCGTAGTATTTTTAAAGTCACATAAAGAGAACACTCGAGCAAAGGCTGCAGTGGAGTATGGATCCTTGGGTATCAAAATACTACACAGCAGGGTTAGTGTGGTAGGGCTCAGTGAGGCTCCTGCCCAGAGAAGGCTCTGCTGGCTGGTGTGGTCCTTGGTGGTGTCCGGGTATGTGGATTTTACTCCCATCATGGACATAGCTGGTGAAAGCTGCTTGCTGTGTCTAAACTGTGTACACAGTATTCACTTTACTTCTTGCAGTCTAGAGTTTTCCTATGTGTTAAACAGAGAATGAGAATGCCTGCATGACCGGTCCCAGGTGAAAACTCTGAGGTGTGAGGTTAGTGAGCTTCCTTTAGTTCATCCCTGCTCACGTACAGAGCCCCAAGATTCCCTACTGGGAGCACTTCAGGAGAGTCCGCTAGGTCTCCTCTGCCCTTTTTCCACAGGAGACGCCTCTGCTGATTTTGTTTTGTGTCATTTTTGTTGTGACGACTCTTAGTTGTGGAGATCTGAGAAGCTCCCTGAAGAATCATTGAGCTGAAAGTGGTCTAGTGGACTCTTACACCTGGGCGCTTCCTGTGGTAGCTGAGTGTGGGCAACCCATAACTCCCACTTCATTTTCCTCCCATGTCCACCTCTGGACCCGATGCCTATTCTGTACTAGATGAAGGATATGTGTGTCTTCTGTAGGAGCTATTACAAAGGTGGAGACTTGAAAACAGAATGTGAGGCAGGCTCCCACTCATCTTAACTGAACTTCAGCTCAGTGTCCTGAACCTCACTCCACCATGGACTCTGAGTACCCTTGCATTCTTTTTTTTAAAACTTGTTTTTATTAAGCTATACATTTTCTCCCACCCACCTTCCCTCCTCCTCTCAACTCGGTCTTGAACTTGTCATCCTCCTGCCTCAACCTCTCTAGTAGCTGGGATAACAGGTCTCTATGACAGGTTTGGCTTTCACTATTGTATTTTAATTGAAATCACTTGAAGGTACTATTTTCATTTTTTAATACTTAATGATGAAAATAAACATTAAAGTTGAAAGAATTTACCCAGGTGTGGTGGTGCACACCTTTAACCTCGACATTCTGGGAGGCAGAGGCAGGTAGATTTCTGTGAATCTGAGGCCAGCCTGGTCTACGTAGTGATTTTCAGGATAGCCAGGGCTACATATAGAGACCTCATCTCAAAAGATAAAACACAAAGTTGAAAGAATTATACATTGAACAGCCCCTATGAACATTCTGCAATATTTGATTTTCAGTTTTATATTTGTTTACATAATAAAGCAAATATGCAATCAGTAATATTCACAATATTGTTCTACAGCATTTTACTGCATTTGCATTATTGCAAACTGGCTCTGTTATCCATTCTTCATCAATCTTTTTTTTTTTTTTTTTTTTTTTGCTTTGAAGTGATCCTCACAAGTTCTGGGATTACAGGCACATACCACCACTCTCCATTTCAACTCATCTTATTTTTTTTTTTTTTTTTTTTTTTTTGGTTTTTCGAGACAGGGTTTCTCTGTGGCATTTGAGGCTGTCCTGGAACTCACTCTGTAGACCAGGCTGGCCTCGAACTCACAGAGATCCGCCTGCCTCTGCCTCCCGAGTGCTGGGATTAAAGGCGTGCGCCACCAACGCCCGGCTCAACTCATCTTATTTTAAAAATGTTTTTCAACATAAATTGCAGATATTATTGTATTTAATCCCCAAACATTTTCAGCATGTATTTTACTGAGTTCAGTTTTTGTTTGTTTGTTTATATAAGACAGGGTTTCTCTATGTAGCCTTGGCTGTCCTGAAACTCGCTCTGTAGACCAGGCTGGGCTTGAACTCATAGACATCTGCCTGTTTCTGATTCCCTGAGCACTAGGATTAAAGACCCAACTTTGAGTTCAAATATTTTATTGTTCTTGTTCTTTCGAGGTTAAAAACAAAAAAATAACCTCAGTTAAATGAATAGATCTTAAGTATGCATAAGCCAGTTTTCAAACAAATTACTTAACAACTTGTATGTTTCTTGTATGGTAGCATACACCTTTAAGACCAGATGGTCTACACAACAAGTTCTAGGACAGCCAGGGATACACAGAGAAACCTTGTCTCCAACAAACAAACAAACAAAAAGATACAACTCTTAAAATATGAAATGTTCAATAGTCTACCTGGTTATCCATGGTACCCACACTGCCTTTCAGGCTATGGAGACCTACATTATTTCCTTCAACTCTCCCAGATACCCTGGGCCTTGGTGACCTGAGTCCCCCAACAGCTATAGATGAGAGGTAAAGTACTCTAGGGTCCAATGCAGTGTGGCACACCTGCTTGCCCTGTGACTGCACCTCGTGGTTTGTGAACTTCCTTGGCCCTGCCTGTCCCTCTGCCACTGTCTTCCTCCCATGGCCTTCAGCTACCCTGCCCCAAATCTTTTTGCACAGTATGTAGAATGAATCCAGGGCCTCACCTCATACATGCTAGGCATGAACGCTGACACTGAGCTGTATACACATCTCTTCAATTGTCCCCTGGATGCTCCCCATCCCCTCCTTCTGTTGGGCTCAGAATATAACACTCAAAAAGGGGATTTTAGCAGTTGAGAGACCCAACAAAGCAAGTCACTCTGACTTTCCCCCACCTTTCTCTGTGCCAGCTGCCCACAAAGGAATTCTATGACTTATGTCACCTGTAGCCTGATCCTTTACTTGTTTTCTCTCCAGAGTGTGGAAATGGCCATAGGAAGAGTCTCCACCACCAGGACCATTTGCCTCATGCTAGCACCTGGATCCCCGTGGCCACAGAGGGGACACCTCCAGACACAAGCACACCCGCACAGATTCAGAGTACCCAGCAGTCCACTTTTCCATCTGGAGCCCTGTCCTTGAACAAAGAGCTAACCCACCACAGTGAAACCCCTGCTCTCCCTTCAGGCTATGATCTGGAAGCTAGACCTGAGGCTAAGGCAAACAAAAAGCAGCAAGAGGACAAAGAGCAAAAAGAGAAACCAGAATCTTCGGCTGGCACACCAGCTGCGGTAGCAGTGCTGTCCCTCCTGGTCATTGTCTTCCTTCTCATAGCAGTCATGGTTTATATGCTGTGCAACAGGAAGAGAGTGAGACAGCAGAGCTCTGCAGGTAAATGAGACGCCTAAACCTCACCTCCAGGGACCTAGAGCCGTCCTGGCAAGGGACCCGCTAACAGAGGCATACAGATAGTAAGGCTGTCAGCACCATGGGCTGTGGGGGAAGAGTCAGCCTGTGTAATAGGTCTTAAGGTTAATTAATGTCTGGGAGTCTGATTCCCTAATTATTGGCCTCAGTTCTCCTTCATCTCAGAGTTCATCTACAAATTTCTCGTCCTTTCCAGATCTGCAGCTCCATTATGCACCTGTAAGCCAAGACTCCAGGGCCTGAAGCAAGAATGGAAGCTTGTGAGAAGGCTTGGGAGGTGGCAGTAGACTGTGCTCCATCAGCGAACTGTTCCTTTGCTCATTCTCCCTTAAGCTGTCTGAGACAAAGTATTCATCTCATAATCCAGGACAGCTTGGAGTTACTGATTCTCTACCTCTTCCTCTAGGCTCTGGGATCACAACACACGCCGCATCTGTCCTCATTTTCCTCTGTAAAGAATGTATACTGCCTCCGGAGTAGTGGATTAAAGGTGTGCACTACTTTTAATGACTAATAATGAGTGCCTCACTGCCCTTAGTGCTGCCCCTTGCTGCTAATAAAATGTAATACTCTAAATTATGTGGTCTAGAAGTGTGGTCCCTTGGTGGAGTGCCTGCCTAACATGTGTGAAGTTCTAGGTTCAGCACTCTCACTACGGATACATTAATTTTAAAAATGTCTGTTTTATACACTGTGTAACAACAAATTGGACACATTCTATGTTTTTACCTATAATACTAAAAATTGCTTTTAGACTTAGTGGCTGAGGGCTGGAGGGATGACCCAGCAGTTTAGATGGATCGATCTTTGCAGAGGACTGGACACCAACATCTGTAACCCAGAACCTGGGGATCTAACCCTCCTCTGACCTCCACAGTCACCAGGGATGCACATATACATGCAAAAGCAAACCATTATCCAGACACATAAATCTAACTTTAAAAAAAAAAAGAATTAATGAGCCGGGCGTTGGTGGCGCACGCCTTTAATCCCAGCACTCGGGAGGCAGAGGCAGGAGGATCTCTGTGAGTTCGAGGCCGGGCTGGTCTACAGAGTGAGTTCCAGGACAGCCTCCAAAGCAATACAGAGAAACCCTGTCTCAAAAAACCAAAAAAAAAAAAAAAAAAAAAAAAAAAAAGAATTAATTACTTCTGCAGACACTAGCTTCAGTCTTTGTCCCCTTAGAAGTGCTGATGGTGTCCCCAGGCCACAAGTTCCCTCCACACTATAACAGTTATTCTCCAATCCCACACGGGAAGCCTAAGTGTCTTCTCTCCCTCATTACCAGCTGCTGTGTTGGTTGATGCACGGTTTCTGTGCAGGCTGGACTCCCTTCCTCAATCCTGGATCACTCATAGACACCCAGAGAGAGTGTGATCCTATAAAACAAGTTACAAGCCGGGCGTTGGTGGCGCACGCCTTTAATCCCAGCACTTGGGAGGCAGAGGCAGGTGGATCCCTGTGAGTTCGAGGCCAGTCTGGTCTACAAGAGCTAGTTCCAGGACAGCCTCCAAAGCCACAGAGAAACCCTGTCTCGAAAAACAAAACAAAACAAAAAAAAAAAACAAAAAAAAAAAACCAAAAACAAGTCACAGCATTTATTACTTTGTTTGTTTCTTCTGAAGAGGAACAAAGCTCTCTCTCTCTTTTTTTTTTTTTTTTTTTTTTTTTGATTTTTTTGAGATAGGGTTTCTCTCTGTGGCCCTGATTTGTCATGGAAGTAGCTCTGGTCTCCAACTCAGATTTCTGCTTGCCTCTGCTTCCTGAGTGCTGGGACAAAGCCACCATGAGGCTCCACAACTTCTCTTTTTCTGGAAGGGTCCTACTATGTACTTAACCCCAGCTGGTCTCAAACTATAGCAATGCTCCCACCTCCCCTTCCCAAATGTTGGGATTACAGATGTGAGCCACCATGCCTCCTTATGAGAATATTGTTATTGGGGAGCTGGAGAGATGGCTCAGAGGTTAAGAGGGCTGACAGCTCTTCTAGGAGGTCCAAGTTCAATTCCCAGCACCCACATGATAGCTAACTACATCTGTGACTCCATTTCCAAGGGGATCCAACACTGTCTTCTGGCTTCCATGGGCACTGCATATATGTGGTATACAGACATACACGTGAGGAAAATAACCATACCTGTAAAATAAAAATAGATTTTTATTGGGTCAGGTCTTCTGGAACTCTAGGGCAGGGTGTGCATGAGGAAGTGGGTTGGGCAGCTGTATCGGACTCCTGTCTGCGCTGTGCAGTGGGAAGCAGGGCCATCTTGCCGGAGGGGCCACTTGGGTTTTAGAGTCTCCAGTTGTACTTCCTGCCCCGTGGTCCACATCCGCTCTGACCAGTAGGGCATGTATGTGTTACTCTGCTCCCGTCCTACGGTCCCTGGGCTCTGTTCCAAGGTGCAGGTCACACTGCATCATCCTTAGTTCTCCAGCATCTGTTCACAGGTTCGCGCCACATCGCTGATCTTGAGGCGGGCATAGTCTACACGCTTGAGCGCCATTTGACAATCCTTCCTGGAAGAGTAGCTGGAGCCCTCATGGGGCTGCCCTGTGGCCACCTGTGGACAGTTAGGTCTATCAGCGGGGCACTGCCTCTCTTGAACATCCCACAACCAGGCATCCCGACTCTGGTCTCATCTTTCTGAGTTTGATCCACTTTAGCTGTGATGTAGCTCAGTGATCTGAGCAAATGACTCCACCCATGTGAACCTCATCTGTGAAAGGCGGGCGGCACTGAGTACTTCCTAGAGTTAGAGAATGTGACACCGCAGAGTGCCCAGCACACCGCGACTGTCAGTAAATACTGGTAGCTAGAGTAAGGTCTTTGGACACCGTCTAGTACTGTCTCTTACTTGGTCCCCTCGAATAAGGGGCCTCACACACCACATCAGGCCATGTTTCTGGGAACAAGCTTCAGTGGCTTCATTTTTTTGTTTGTTTGTTTTGTTTTGTTTTTATACGAGACAGGGTTTCTCTGTATTGTTTTGGAGGCTGTCGGTCCAGCCCGGCCTGGAACTCACAGAGATCCGCCTGCCTCTGCCTCCCGAGTGATGGGATTAAAGGCGTGAGCCACCACCGCCCGGTCAGTGGCTTCAATTTTAAATTTTTTCAGTATTGGGTCCTCCTGTATGGTAAGGCAAGTGCTCTGGCACGGGGCCCCGCCCTCTTTTTTATGTACTGGGTCTAAATTGGCTCAGACAGGTTTTGAACTTGTGATCCTCCGGCCTCAGCTTCTTGATTGGCTGAGATTACAGGTCTATGTCACCTGGTCTGGCTAGGTATTGTTTATACAACCTAGGTACTTTTAACTCCTAGCTTTCAGACTAAACCTCCCCTGAAATGAAAATGCGTTAGAGGCAAGACCCAGCTAAAGCCCAGAGAATCTCTAAGGTTAGGGCTGCAGTGGGGAGCTGGAGTCCCCGCCCAGTACCTTCTAAACACACCCACCTGAGTTAGGTAGCGTATCTGAGCAGACAGCTCCGCCTCCACGTGCTGCACAGAAGCGGTGAAGGCTGCCGCCTGCCGGTCTAGAAGCCTCTCGTTCGTTTTTTCCTTGGACAGTTCCAGGATGGCCGTTCCTGCCAGGGCGGGGAGAGGGCGGGGTGAGAGAGAGAGAGAGACAGAGAGACAGAGAGATGGAGACATAACCCCGCCCTAAGGCTCGCACTCACGTCCCGCCCACACCGCGCGCGGAGTCCTGGCTAGCCTTCTTGCTGACCAGTCGGCTCCTCCCTTTCTGAACCTGCGTTCTGGAGGATGGCGCCGATTTCGCGCTCGATGTCCTCTAGGGCGCGCAGCCGCTCGTTCGCCAGGCTGTAGGTAGCCATGGTTCCCGTGGAAATCCCTACAGACGGTCTTTTTAGAGATGTGGCGCCGAGGCCCGGAAATGCCTGTTAGGGTGCGCCTGCGCAGAAGCCACTGTAGCGAACACTACAATTCCCAGGATGCTCGGCGCGGCCTCGCCCTTCCGGGTCCACCTGGTCTAGCATGACTTCCTGGGCCAGATTGCTGGTGGAAAGAGGCAGTATTAAATTTTTTTGTTTTCTGACAAGGGCTCACTGTAGACCAGACTGGTCTGGGACTTGCAGAGATGAAGATACTCTAAAGAAACACCTGTGTCTCTTAATTCTATAAGACTATTGAAACAATGGATCCCAAAGAAATGGGTATTTTCCTAGGAATCTCAGGCTGGGAGAAAGAAAGGGCACCATTCAGAAGAGGAATTTGTCTTCCGGAAAGAGATTTCACACAGTTCTAACAACTTGCAGACTACATTACGGAATGATACTAAACCCAGATAATGATGAGTCAGTGGTGGGTGTGACCACCCCTTGACTGGTACTACTTAGATGTACATATACATCCTTGGTCCCCTATTTAAACTTTGATGTTACTTGAGGGCCCTGAAGACTGACTTGAGGGGTTTGCAGGATCTCTTTGTCCCGTTGCCCAATGCGGCCACTGTCTGGTGGACTTACTGAATTTATAAGAATTTATTAAGCATTGGCCCTGTGCCAGGTGATGATGGTGGAAATTCGAGTGTGCTCTCCATACTGAGTAGTCACGGGCACTTTGCTGGCCAACCTCTCTCAAAAGATGAGTGACTAGGAGTGTTAGAGCTATTTTCCCTAAGGCTTCTTTCTGATCCTGAGCCTGGCTAGTTCTCAGGTCTTGGGTCCTTCCCTCCACATTTCTATCACCGATTATCAGTTAGGTGCTCGACTCTAGGGATATAAAGGTAAACAAGATGTTCTCTCACACCAGTATTTTGTTAGTGCAGGTACAAAGCCTTTTATAAGATTTATTTTACTTTATGAATATGGGTGTTTTGCCTGCAAGTGTGTCTGTACACAATTTGCATGCATTGTCCATGGAGATCTAAGAGTGCATGGCATTCTCTAGAACTGGAGTTATAGGCAGTTTTGAGTCACCATGTGGGTGTTGGGAATCAAACCAGGGTCCTCTGAAAGAGCAGCCAGTGCTCTTAACCATTGAGTTTTCCCTTGGGTCCCAGGAAAAGGATTCTTGCAGGAAGTATTTTTTGAACTGAGTTATAAAGGGCTAATGAGTTGAATGAGAGGTTGCAGCAGAAAAAGGAGAATAGTATCCTCCAAGAGACGGGGCTATGAAGGGGCCTGGTATAGTTGGAGTCCAGTAAGGAGTTCTGTTCACGTGGAGTGAGCAGAATGTTATTGGTGGTGATTAGGGGGGACATGAAGCTGCAATAGAGATATCAGGAAAAGACTCATAAAGCTAAGCAATTTATTCTGGGATGCTAGAAAAATGTCTTGAGCTGTTAACAGCACTGGCTACTCTCGCAGAAGACCTGAGTTCAGTTCCCAGTATCCATATCAGGTGGTTCACAATTGCTTATGTCTCCAGCTTCAGGAAATTGGATGTCCTCTTCTGGCTTCCCTGTAGGTACCTGCATGCATGTGGTACTCGTGTGTGTGTGTGTGTGTGTGTGTGTGTGTGTGTGTGTGTATCAAAGAGGAATGGGTGTAAATATTATCAAAATTCATTGTACAACATTCTCAAAAATTATTAAAAATATTTTTTAAAAATGAAAGAAATTCTGAAGGTATTTTGGGGGTCTTTGAAGAAAGTGTGTCATGACCAGATTTCATTGTTTTTAAAGAGCACTTTTGAGGCTTACAGAAGTCAAGAATGAAAATATTGCTGGTTGTGGCGGCCTATGCCTTTAATATAAGTGTTGTGGATGCAGAAGCAAGTGAATCTCTGTAAGCTTGAGACCAGCCTGGTCTACATATCAAGCCAGGGCTACATGGTGATTAGAGCTAGATGTATATAACTTCATGGTAGTGTACTCACCTGCTGTGTAGGAGGTCCTGAAAGCAGTAACCTGAACAGCCTAAAAACAACAGTAATAGTAACAAAATTAGTTTGCAGCCGGACGGTGGTGGCGCACACCTTTAATCCCACCAGCACTCGGGAGGCAGAGGCAGGCGAATCTCTGTGAGTTCTAGGCCAGCTTGGTCTTCAAAGAGAGTTCCAGTACAGTCTCCAAACCTACAAAGAAACCCTGTCTCAAAAAAAAAAACAAGAAAATTAGTTTACAAAGGCATATTAATGACAACTTGGTTATACTTGATGAATCTAGCATTCAAATTTTTCCTTTTCTAGATCCTAATAAAATGACAAAGATTTTTAAAATTTAAATTACATTTATTTATTTAGTGTGTGTGTATGTGTGTGTGTGTAGAGAGAGAGAGAGAGAGAGAGAGAGAGAGAGAGAGAGAGAGAGAGAGAGAGAGAGAGCACAAGAGTTCACAAATAGGTGTGTCTGCCCATGGTGCTCATGTGTCGATCAGAGACTACTAGGAAAGAGTCATCTTTCTGCCATGTGTGTTCTGGAACTTGATCTTGAGCTGTCAGGCTCAGTGGCAAATGCTTCAAAGATGTTCAAGGGCCGACCCCGTAACTAAGTTGGTAGAGTATTCGCCTAGCATGCAGGAAGCCCTGGGTTTGACATCTAGCACTTCATAAAACTGGGCATCTGTGGAGCGTGTTCCTGTCATCTGAGCACTCAGGAGGTAGAAGCAAGAGGGTCAGAGGTTCAAAATCACCCCTGGCTTGCTTCACAGCAAGCTCAAAACCAGCCTGAGCCAAGACCGTGTCCTAAGGGAAATAAAGAAGATGGAGGAGGTGGCTCAGTTGAAAAAGTGTTTGCTATGCAAACCTTTGAGGACTGAGTTTGGATCTCCAGAACCCATGGAAAAGCCAGCCTCTGTCTACCAGGTGCTAGGGTCATAGGCATGGCCAACTCATAGAGATACATCCACCTGCCTCTGTGTCCGAAGTGCTGGGATTAAAGGCAGGCACCACCATGTCATTTTTGCCCCTTCAACTGTACCCAGGTGCCCACCAAGGTGAAAACTGTTTTCCATTTCCAACAAAGAAGTCTCCAAGACCTTGGAAGAGAAATTGGGAAATTCTTCTTGCAAGTAAAGTAAATGAAAACAGCAACGGGACGTGTTAGTCCGTGCCTTTAATTCCAGCATTTAGGAGTTCAAAGTCAGCCTGGTTTACATGGGCAGTTCCAAGGCCATCCAGGACTACGTAGTGAGACCCTGTCTCATGAAACAAACAAAATGACAAAGAGGAATGGGAAAAGCAGGTATACTGTCATCAGAATTTCAAAGTCATCCTCAGCTAAACAGTGAGCTCGTGGCCAGCTTGTGCTCAATGAGACTCTGTCTGTAAAAAAAGAAGACAAACAAATGAAAGAAACAAGTAGTGATGGCACAGTCCTGGAACCTTAACACTAGGGGCCACAAATAACAAATTCAAGACTAACCATACTAGTTCTCAAAAACCTAAGTGCTGGCACTATAGCTTAGAAGCTTTGTCTGGGACTCTGGGATTTATCCTCAACACTGAAAAGAAAAATGGCCAAAGAGAAAGGGATGAGCATGAACATGGAAACATTAGACAATGGCTGGGGAATACAGGCTGAGTCTGGTTTAGCAGTGAAATGGTAACTAAACCAACAGGAAGTTTTAGGGAGCAGACTGCCCTGAAGTTAGTGGTAGTGACACGAGTTTGGATAAAGTTGGCACTAAAATTTGGAGGGTTATTTGAAGTGATTAACTACCAGATCTTGACTTCATACATTTTGGCAACTTCCCCCACCCCAGGAGAATACTGAAGTGTTTTTCTCTTCCTTCCTTTCTTCCTTCGTTCCTTCATTCCTTCCTTCATCCTCCCTCCCTCCCTCCTTCTCTTTCTTTCAAGATTAGAAACTTTGGGGGTTGGAGAGTTGGCTCCACAGCTAAGAGGCACTGGCAGCTCTTCCAGAGGACCAGGGTTCAATTCCAAGCACTCACATGGTGGCTCACAACCATCTGTAGCTCTTGTCTATCCAATGCCCTCTTCTGGCCTCTGTGGACACATACACTCAGACAAACACACACATTCACATAAAATAAAATAACAACAATGAAAGTTTAGGGTCTTGCTGGTACCTGACTGGCCTGTAAAGCACTATACAGATCAAGCTGGCCTCAAGGTTGCTTCTGTCCTATTTCTTCCTCCAAGTACTGGAGGTGTGTATGTGCCACCACACCTTGGCTCAGAGAGTTCTTTGTTGGAGATGGAAAGCAGGGATTTTTGCTTTGTGGGTACTTGGGTACAGTTGAGGTCAAAAGTGTGACACTGAAAAAAAATTAAGTGAATATTTATGTGTTGGGTTGTGGTTTCTACACTTGAAAGCCAAGTTTATAGCTTCCAGGTTCAAGATTCCAGGATGCTCCAGGGGGAACTTGATTATTCAGAGAAACAATCTGATTGACACCAAGGTTCTAACAAAGTCCTTAGCCAGACCAGACCATGTTGAAATTCATTGTTTGTAAGGTGCAGCTGTGTACATGGAATAGTTAGTCAACTTCTTTTCACCTCCGGCTCTTCTGGAATTGGACATCCTCTTCCTTCAGCCTCCTGAGTGCTGGGATTTCAAATTCACACTGCTACTTCACTTTTGAATATGCCCAGGCAGAAAAGGATATATATATATATATATATATATATATATATATATATATATATATAATTTTTTTTGTTTTTACGAGACAGGGTTAATCTGTATTGTTTTGGAGGCTATTGGTCCAGCCCGGCCTCTAACTCACAGAGATCCGCCTGCCTCTGCCTCCCGAGTGCTGGGATTTAAAGGCGTGCGCCACCACTGCCCGGCTGATTTCTATATTTTTGAGGAACTTTCTTGCACGAAAACAATAAATACAGAGGAAAAACAAATCCTAGTGGGCTCAGATAAGAGATTTTATATGTATGATTAATTAGTTGCTGTTATGATAAAGCTCATGGAACCTTTCATGGGGACCTTGGCAGATTCCATGGCAGGCAAGGTTGACCAAACATGCCAGGGGACAAAC